GCAAAGACCTTAAGCTGTGGCGTGAAAACCATTAATGTTGATGATAGCAGCAATAACAATGATATTAAAAATGATAGCGGTAATGACATTAGCAACAAAAAGCGAATAATGATGATGATAATAATTTAGGAAAGAGATTTAAGTAGGAAAATAATGTGATGGGGCTGGCCACTATGTGTGGACATATGCAGAAGCGGTTTCTACACCACAGGGAGCGCCTAGAGGGTACTTAGTTGGGGTCTTCGAAAAGAAACGGAATTGGCTGCAGCATAAATGGACTGCAGTGAATTGCAGTGGATCTAATCCAATCAGACGACAACACCAGACGGTCCATAGTCCGGCGAAGGGCTCACGTTTACGGGGGCCTTGTCGGGAAGGGAGACGGGGGAAGGGAGGAGGGAGGGGCAGAACGGACCGGAGAAAGAGTGCCCAAAGCATTAAATAAAAATTTATGGACAATTAAATGAAAAAAGACTAGGAAAGGATGGTAGACGATTTAGGCAGGGTACATTTTGTTCAAAGACGCCGGGTGCATCAAGGTAGCGCACAGTGCACAGGTAATAAGCAAGTCACTCACCATAATTTGGCCAGTGTGGCGGCGCGTAACACTGCGCTGGCCATGCAGAAAATGCGGCTGCAGCGGGATTCATTGGTTGCCCAAACTGCTGATAATAATTGGGCCAGTTGCCGTACTGTTGCACATAGGCCGCAGCGGCGGAGTGGTACAAACTCGGGTCAGGCTGCGCAGTGGTCGAGTTTGGATCATTGCTGTCCGAAGAGTCCGAGGACTTTGCGGTCGTTGTGGTAGCGGATGTATGACCTACGCCTTGAGTCATTTGCGCCAACCGCTGCAAGTGGTCATCAGCCGGAATAGCGGCAGCAGTCACGTCCTGGAAAGTTCGGGAGCCAGAAGCGGGAAATTCGAATCCCATCGTTGATAAAGATGGCGCATTCATCGCTGATGCTTGCTAGCTCGTTGCTACTTGTCCCTCCCTATAAATGTTCCATCCGGCTGCTCTGAATATACTACTGCTACTGCTTTTGCAGCTCCTTCCCTGTCTGCACCACCTATGCACACACCAACACAGACTCATGCGCCAGCTGCGCTTGCACGACTGTTACAGTATCCAAGTCGCAGTAGGCGGTCCTGTCTGGATTCTCCACTGAACCGGCGCTCTCTTGCCGCTGAAGGCGAATCGCGAATGCGTTGTGGGCGTCCACCAACGTTCTGATTGGTTGAAATCTAAAAAATCGAATGAAGAGCTGAGCTGTGTATGCGCATGCGCTGGTGCAAAACGTACCCTGGGAAAGAAGACAGAAGTGAGGTGGCGTGGATTGAGCGTGCAAAATTGAGGGTAAAGGATAGGCTTGACAAATGAGTGGGTCTAAGAGCAAGATAAATTTGGGGCTTAGGCGGGGGCGTCAATGATGTGGATTGGGACGTTGGAAATTTTGTTGCGAGCATCAAATAGCCACTACTAATAATAATTGACGCTTTAGCACTGTTAAAATTTGATTGCGTGCACACATACAGACACACATGAATTTGATTAGCTCATTTCTTAGACAGCGGCACGCGCGCATGCACAAAAATTAACGAATTGAGATAAATTGGCTCATAAAAATGTTTCAGCGAGCGTGTGCCGCGGCCGAAACCAAGATGTGTGTGCAGTGAGCTTATGCGCGTGCCTCATTCAACACGAAATTAATGTCCCTGAAAGTCTCTCTGCATTTGACGCGTCAACTGTAAATTTGACGTGCACGACTTGCGATGACTGCGATGCTTGCAGCGCTTTGGCGATACCTAAACTGCGCTAGGCGCTTATTACGATCCCAGTATACATGAGACTCTGACATATCGATTTATTTTGTGTTGTTAGATGTCACGCTTTCGCCAGTGCAAAAATCGTTCCATTTATTGATTCCAATTTTGAGCGGGAATCTAACGGAATACAGAAGCAAGACGGAACTATCTCACACTTTCTAACAAATTATTGCATCTACCAAAAGCGCTTTCTGTTGAGCAGCAGATCACTCTCTGGGATGTGAAATTCAAAACTGACTTGTCCATCAAGCAACTTTATGGCTTTTGTTCTCTTTTCGTGGCTGACTGGCGCAAAAATATCCCCCAAAGATGGGATGAAAAAAACAAAAAGCGCCATTTTCTGTTGAAAGATTCAAAACTGTGTCGGGAGACAGAAACTGTAGTCGATGGGGCCAGTTCAAACAATAAACTGGCAGTCGTGTGCGAAGGGTTGGATTAAAAGAAATTTTTCAACCTTGGTATTTACAATTATCATCGAATTATTGTTATGGGGCATGCGCAGAACAATTTAGCTTCTTTGCTGAAAATCAACAGAAAGACAAAACTATTGAAGACTTTTAAGAATTTAGACCCTTCCTTCGGCCCTACATCTCTTTGTGCATGCGCATTTCTCCTCCATAAGTTTTGAAATTTTCGTGGCAATTTTCGCATAAAATTTTCACGAAAATTTTACGGACCTGAACCTTTTCTTATTTGACAAAATTTAGTACAGATACGCATGTCTCCATTTATCTGCGTATCCTGATAAAGGCTTAGCCACTGATAAAGATTAAAGGCCTAGCTGATTTTTTTAGTTACCATGCATGCGCTAGCTTTTTTGTTCCGAGTAGCAGATTGTAAAGCTTGCCTAATTACTATGACAAATAAATGGAACAGTGCGCTCTCGAATATGAATCGATCCAAATATGCTGTGGCAAGTGTGCCTTCAGCTACCTCTGTGGATGCTAAGGTATTCGACGCACCGCAAAATGTTTTAGTGCAGCGTGATAAATTGATAAGTTTAGCTTGCAACGCTAGATTAGCTTGAATGGTTTTAAAGGAGCAGCGAGAAATACTAAATTTGTAAGACAACTTAAGAGCAGCATTACCTAGTAACACGATAACAGTAAACAAACAGCTTTTAGCATTACAAATTTGATAGTCGAGGCAGCCCGCTGCAGCTACTATTACTGTTAAAAAAGTTCTAAACTATAATTTTTATCTCTTTTATTAACTATTTTCAACAGATGATGCAAACAAATTAATTTCCCGGAAAACAATTATGATGTTAATGTACAACGTTAGAATATAATTAAAGTGAAAAACTACTACATCTAAAAGGGAACGATATTGCCTCTGTCCCTTTTTGTACTTTCAGTTTAGCTTACAGTAACTTGCACCAGTGAATAAATCTGAGAAAAACGCCATTAATCTGTTAAGAATCCGTTAAAATCAGCCAAAAATATTCAATTAAAGCAAAGCAAACCACAAAAAATCCTCAAGCCATCAATGTACGAAAAAGATATACAAGTAGCTCAAAAGGTAAAGTTTTTGCTTGCAAACCACAGATTCCAGCTGCGCTTTTTTAAACGCAGTCTACGCGCTGCAGCATCACCGATCATTTAAAGTCACTACATCACTGACAAACAATGAATCAGCCGTAGGTATGCAAGTATTTAAGAGGAGAGAGAACAGCGCGTTGCAGCGTGATAGGTCATAAGCTTGCGCCAATTTTCATTTTAGTCTTAGCAAGCTTATACTTCCACTCTATGAAGCGGATGTTCTGCAGCTATCGCTTTTACCTAATTAGCCTGCCAGTAGTGTCTTTTTTTTTTTGTTTACTGAATGCACGCTTCACTGCTAAACAAATACTGGGGCAGCGCAATGCTTTCTCGGTTAGAAAACATCAAATTGGCAACATAATGTGGATGCTGAAGCACCGAAAATTACAACGTTTTCTGTTCGTTCACACATTAACGTGCTGTCTCCAAGCAACCCGTGTCTTCGACTAGAATCCGTTCCCGCCCCGCCCCCCGGTCCTTGAAAGAGATTTTTATTGGGAGCACAGCTACTGCAGGTACGGAAGGAAGGCGGAAGTGGAGCGACTGCGGTCGTTGTAACATACATGCGCAGAACGGGTGTTTTGTGGGCAGGACTGAATTCAGGACAGGACTGAAAAGCGTACGAAGAGGCGTCAGTGGGTTGAATGGAAAAGCGACAGGACAAGAATTCGAAGAGGGCCGGGATGGGGCCGTGGAGGCAACGCATCCTGATCAGGAGTAGCAGCAGCAGCACCCGGTACCGGATCGATGTAATGAGAAGACACGAATAATACAATAATGCGTTTTACAGCAGCACTACTGCTGCAAAGAAACGCAGCAGCGATTTGGGGTGGAAAAAAGGCAAGAGAAGCTCGGCGCCGGCTGGTCCACGGGAAGGTCCGATTTGGACAGGAGCAAATTAGATTTTTGTTATGAAAGAGGGTATAAGAGAGCAGAAGATGATGGCGCCACCGGGACAGGACAACGGCCTTGTAACCACATATACACATGGATCAAGATGCACTGACGGATTGGGCAAGAAACAGTTTTCAAACAAGTCACCAGTTGTCAACCACAGCGAGGTCGTTTTCTGGTTTTGACAAAAGTTTCAGACTTTCTTTCACTGAGCTTGGACGATTACAGTAATGCTGCTGTTCCCTGCCCTCATACGATCGATGCAAGAAAGCCGAAAAGCTGCATAAATAAAAGTTTTTAGTCAAAATAATCTTCAGTAATATTTAACAGCAACTCTTTTGAAAAGAGAACCGCAGGAGGATGCACACACACAAATTTCCTAACCACTCAACAAGCAGGATTGTACAAGTGTCTAGTTCATGGATGTAATGTAGATCGAATATGGCTTCTTGAACAACTGATCGAAATGCTAAGCGAAATGTTGCTTCAATCTACAGTGCATGTAGGTTCCTGCACAGTACATTATCTGAATTCAGAGTTTATGTTTTTATCACGATCTTGTGCACTTCAACTTTTCTAAGATTAAGTTGACGCTCTTTGCCTGTTTTATCGCTTTTTAAGCAAATTCTCGTCTCGCACCAGCTATTCTGCTTCTTCTAATGCGAAACGAACGCCTTCTCCTACGCGCGCTTGTAGCACAAATCTGAATGACATGGTAGTTACATGATGGAACCACAAAACACAACCTCGACACGACGTTTGTTCAGAGTCACTTGAAACAAAATCCAGGGTTCTGTAAAGTCACTTCCATTTCCTGCAGGCTAAAGTGCCCTCCAGAGGGAAAGTAGCGCAAGTGACTCCTCAAGAACACATTGTACATTTGTTTATCTGAATGAAATTCAATGTAGACCTAAGAGAGTGAACAGTACCCAAAACGGTCCAGCTGAAACCAGTTAGCTGCTGTATAGTTGTCCCAAATTCTCTTTTCTGAAAGCTTTCTAAGAAACAATGGAACATTCGATTCCCTGACTTGTTAAATATGTCAGCACTAATTAGTCTTCAAACTGATCAACGAACTGTAGAGTTTGTTTTTCTCAGTGATGAATTTGAACCGATGACTTCGGCCTGACACTACGCACCAGTCGTCAGTAAACTGTATCGGAAGCAAAAGCTGGATTTCCTCTCTTGAACTCTCCCCTAATGATCCTCGAAAATCCGTGTAATGCTTTCCCACAAGTATTACTTACCCTAATTCTGAACCTCAAATACAACTTTGTTTTTATTTGATTGCAACGATTACTGGTCACAAGCACAGACGTAGCGGAAATTTCGTGAATCTAAAATGTAACTACGTTTTATGCAGTGCAACTCCTCATACACCAGAAATAAGTCGATGCTCAACAACCGAATCTTAACGACGATTTCATCAAGGAAGGCCGGTTGGATTAGAATTCGAATTAGGATCATTATTGTTGATGGCGCCATCAATAGCAGCAACAGCACTATAACTACCACCACCATCATCATCATCGTCATCATCATCACCATCATCATTATCATCACCACCATCCCATCAAAATCGCCATCAGGTGGGAGTAGTAGCAATATAGCAGTCCTAGCATTGTCGGCCGCTGGGTAGAGTTCTCGTTGTCCTCCAATCCCGGTGCCGTTGCATTAACGAAAATGGGTATTTTACGAGTATTGCTTGTTGGCCGTCTCACATTGCCCGCCAGCAGTCCACCCGACCACATTCCCTTCTGTTCCATTCGATTCGATTTGATTTCGGAAGCACCAGTGCTGTGATCCACAATGTGGCACCAGTCTATCCGTCCTTCTCACGTCGACTACACTTTGTTGTTCTAACGTGCTCTGATTTTTCAAAATCTCTGTTTTTTTCGTTACTACATTTCAGTTTCGAAAATCCGAGTTCCATCTGATAGTGCATCTGGGAGCCCATTCTCCGTTTTATTTCTTTTATAGAAATCTATACTTTCTGTAATAATGGAAGCGCCATTTTCTTGTCTTTAGAATAAGCTAAAATGAGTCTTCTTCCTTGAATCAGTTAATGATAAGACTAAAAGAGCTCTTCGTTTCATCAGAAACAGGTTTTCAACGGAAGCCAACGTGATATTTTTAAAACCAAATTTAGCTGACGTTTTAAAATACAATTGTGCCCTTTGTCCTTTTGTTTTCTGGTGGACCTCTCTTTAGAGACCATTATAAAAAGTTCCACCGATTTTTCATCACCCAGGAAAATTTCGACTTTCATTTTGACAGAACCCATCTCCTTGATTTAATTAACACTCTTTTATACCTTTAAAGGTATTGAATAAGCTTTTAAAAACATTGAATAAACTTTTAAAAACATTGTCAGTTCAACATAGTTTTTTTTACATATCACAATTAATATCTTTATTAATTGTGTTATGTAAAAAAACACGTATAAATTGCATTGAAGTAAGGCGGCCCGAAAAGAAAAGACGCTAAAAGTTATCAAAATCTTCAAAGACACTAAATTCCTAATTCAGAGGTACCAGGTCTACAGTAAGCAACTACTATAATGTATAAGACTGGAGGAGAAAGGTGCTCGGTGTTAAACTTCATCTCAGTAACAGTCACCTTAATTTTGAATAACTTTGATTTTTATAATCTTAATTCGGCCTTTCAGTTAGGCGCAGAAGAATTAGCTTCTGATAAGGTCAATAAGCAGCAGCTTCTTCAATAGCACTCAGCATATGGTCATGAAAGCAATTCGGATTTTCTAGTTTTCTCGAAAACTGCTGCAGTCCACATCACATCCAAATCACAAGATTTATTTTTGCAGAAGCATCTTTCGATTTTTAGACTCCTTATGCTAGTCTATGATGATTATAACCAGCTAAAATTGCTAGAAGTAATGTTGCTGTTCATGTCCGGCCAGTAAGCATAAAATGAGCTTTTGCCTACGCATTTACTACGACACAGATATGTTAAATATTCAAGTTCAATCTTTTTCAGTAGTCAGACAGGAAAGAAAGTTGATATTTTATAAAAATGCTGACTTGTCCTGTACGGCATTAAAAGAACTTTCACGGACAACAAAGTTTTGTGTAAGGAAATGTAAAATTCCCAGCTGATGCCCTCACCACCTCCCTTCCCCTCCTCCCTTCTCTCTCGTGCGTGCAAGAAAAGATTATCAAAAACATATCCAAGAAATGTCCACAAACTGAATGGTAAAACAGCGACCGCTGATACCTTTTCTATCTGACTGCTTCACGAAACCGCATAAAAAGGCGCGATAGTACCGGCAATTTTGGTTCGCGCCGCTAATAATTAAATTTG